GGTGCAGGGTCTGCCGGCTGGGTGCTGGCAGGCTTGCACCTGGCACGGGCACCGTAGCCAGCCCGTGCCCCTTTAAGGGGTCCGGGGGCCGGGAGGGGGGCAGTAGAGTTTCCCTGGTGTTGGCCAGAGTGGCCACCAGGGAAACCTGGGGAGGGCTAGCCTCCCACTAGTTCGAATTAAGGGGCTACACACCCCTTTATTCGAGCTAGCTAGTTCGAACTAGGCTTAATCCTCGTGGAATGAGGATTACCTAGTTCAAACTAAGCGCTCCGTTAGTTCGAATTAAGTTCGAACTAATGGAGCGCTAGTGTAGCGCCTATGAAAGTTAGTTCGAACTAAAGGACGTTAGTTCGAACTAACTTCGTAGTGTAGACATACCCTAAGGCCATTCTTATGTTCTTACTGGAGCTTGTAGTCCTGGGTGACTGAATATTGAGCTGCTCTTGAGCACCCCTATAGCAGAAGAGAACTGGGTGACCTTTTCATATGTTTGACAAGGAGGATGTAACCATTCTTCTAAAAGGCACATCTTGCTACCATGATCTATGCTGCTCTCTCCTTCAGAATAGCTGTAATGTGCTTTACTTAGAGCTAAGCCTTAATCCAGCCTAGTAGTAACTGAAGATGGTCCAGAACTTTTAGAATTCACTCCTTATGATGTAAAGCATAGGTGCTTAAAGTTCTGGTTTAAATGAATTCCATAATTTGTACTGATTGGAGTCTTTTTGGTTTTTTTCCATTCACTTAGGCTGAATTTGAATGTATCAATGAGAAGAAAAGGCAAAAGAAGAAAAACTACAAAAATTCTGGTGTTGTGAGTGTGAAACACTGTGAGGTTGGTACAATAGGATTTTATTTTTAACTTGATTTTTTTATTTACAGATGTCTAGGTATAATATACATGATCTCAACATCCAAGTGTTAATAACAGTAAAATCTATGAAAATGGCAGAAATAGTTCAGTCTTTAAGATGAATATATAGATACAACATGTTTTAAATATTACAGAAGCATTACCATGGCAAAGTAAAATGTATTTGCTTTCCATAGAATCAGAATACAGTTAATATTACTACTGAATTTTCTATAGAGTTCATGACTTGATCTTCTATACAGGAGTTTGTAAGCAAGTGAAAGTTACTGGGGTTTTTATACAAGGTCTTTTGTTTATAAATAGATGTCTAAATATCCAAGCTCCACAACCTTATATTCAGTAGAATAATCTGGAATTCCTCATCTAACATAATCTAGTACAGTGGTTCTCAACTCGTTTCAGTCCACGGACCACCAGGTCAATCAAAAAATTTTCGTGGACCACCTCCAGCACACGTAGCACAGGGCGAACGACAAAGCAACCTCTCAGCACGACAGCGGCAGCTACACTGACGCTCAGAGCCTCAGATGGAAGTTACTGGCAACACAACGCGGTTGCGTCCTAGGTGACGCTATGGACGACGCGCCGTGTGCTTGTGAACACGGCATAAAACAGCCTAACAGCGGCGCCTGCTCACGCCATGTGACTTTAGACGATATTCCTGTGGACCACCGAAGAAGTCCCCAGGACCACCAGTGGTCCATGGACCACCAGTTGAGAACCACAGATCTAGAGTGAGAGTTCTGAAGGCCGAACACACAAAACAGGCTTCTGAAAATCTATTTTTCATATATTGTATAATGACGAGGGAAGTGGTGATCTGTGTTGTCTTGAAAGCAAAAAGCACTGATATTCCCAGCAATTAATAGATACCATAATATCAGTTTCCTTGCATCTAAACAATGGCTAACATAGAAAATATTTATGAAGTGAACTTTCAAAAATGAAAGTAGTCTGGACGTGGGTTTTTTTTTTTTTTTTTTTTTTTTTTTAAAGGAAAAAACCCTTTTGAAAAAACCGCTTTTCCTTAAAAAAAAAAAAAAAAAAAAAAAGAGAGATTTACAAAGTTTTTCAAAAAAGGGATTTTTTTCAGAAAAAACGTCCAGACTCACTGTTTAAAGACCCGTTTTTGAAAGAGTAATCAGAAGAAGGAATTTGCATATCCTCTTTCGGGTGGAAAAAACATAGTTTAGATGCACCCAGAGTGTGTAGTACCTTTATTCTTGAATACTCCCAAAGAAATCCAGAGCAATTACTTGTGGAGTAAACGTACTGCTTTACATCAGTATGGGAAGCAAAACCAGGCTTTCAGGCAAGTAGGAAATTGCCTCAATCTTTTGGGTTTTGCTGAAACTCTTGTGTTTTTGTTTTAGATTATAGTCGAATGCACATTCCTTGACTACATCATGGGAGGATGTCAGCTGAATTTCACTGTAAGTAAATTGTGTACCAAAAGGCTTTCTTTTCAGAGTAAGCTATAATGTATTATGGATTATCTTTGTTTTATTAGCTTATTTTTGTATCGAATAAAGCATAAAGGCATGTTTCCAGAGGCCCTCTAACCTATTTTGTAACTCTTACCTGGAAAGTTCTGAAATATGATAGACTTCTAGCATCAGACATGAGGTCTGAATCTTCAGATGTGCTCAGTCAGAACTGGATATAACTGTTTGGGCAGAGACCAAAGGATTTTGCTGTTCTCTCTTGTTTGGGTTTGTCTTGCACCATCTCATCACAAGCATAGTTTAGATCATCTTAACAGCTGTCAAACAGTCAAGGAAGGTCTGTAGCTCTGGAGGTAAGGATGGGATGATGTAGAGTTTATGGTGGGTCTCATGTGTCAAGGATTTCCACATTCCAGAATAATCTTCAGGTGCCCATATAGGATGACTTCAAGGCTGCACAGCTTGAGCAATATTCATAGGTCTTAACATGGGCTCTGATCCTGAAATGGTTTAATTCACAAAACTGTTACAACACGGACAGTAGCAATGTAAGCTTTCTCCACCCTGGCAATGAACTCCGACACTCCTCACACATAGAAGGTTAGTGTCTGTGGCCAGTCTGTATCAGCAATGATATCTGTTCACTTTTAAATGCTGTAGTATTCCTTGAGTAGCTTCCACTAGGAAACAGGCTGAGACCATAGACTCATTTCACAACCATGGAGAAGATGGTGAATGTTTTTGATTAAGATCTATATGATCTAGCAGCTGATAGGAGGAAAGCTGATTGATTTTTCCCTATAGGGCACCACAGAATCAAGCTGTTTAGGTAAGATACATTCCATAAACAAGAACATGGTTTAAATATGGCAGCTGACAGGTGTACCAATATATCATGCAGATTGTTCTTATCAATTCAGTTCTGCCTATCATTAGGAACCCAGGGTATGTCTACACTGCCACCCTAGTTCGAACTAGGGTGGCAGTGTAGACATACCCTGGGTTCCTAATGATAGGCAGAACTGAATTGATAAGAACAATCTGCATGAAGGCCCCGCCATTTTAAAATCCCCGTTAGTGCGGACTCCGTGCCCGCAGCTACACGCGGCACGGAGTAGGTAGTTCGAATTAGGCTCTCCAATTCAAACTACCGGTACACCTCGTTCCACGATATAAATTCTGATATAAATTCTGTGTTTAACAGGTGGGGATAGATTTTACAGGCTCCAATGGGGACCCTCGCTCACCAGACTCTCTACATTACATCAGTCCTAATGGGGTTAATGAATACTTGACAGCCATTTGGTCTGTAGGAATGGTTATTCAGGACTATGATGCGTAAGTTTTAACTTATTTATCTTTCAAATGTGTGTTGTAAAACTTGGGTAAGTATTGCAGACACCCATAAACATGTCCTAATAGAAGCTTTAGAACTGAATGTGCTAAAAGTTCAAGAACATGGATAAAAATCCTTTCACATTTTCCATTCCATTTTATCCTCTCCTCTCTTTGAGCTCTTACCTCTTCTAAGACAGACTGAGGTGGGAGAAAGGGCACAATCTGTTTTGGCTTATTGTAACTGCATTACACTTGACTTTGCATAAGGTGATTCAGGCATGCTACAGATAGAGAAGATGTCCCTTGGGTATGTCTAAGTGGATAGAGGTGCAAATCTGTCAATTTAGCTATCTGCCATTTCTTGGCAGAGCCAGAAGGTGGTAGTGCAGAGATTATCTGTTTAAATACAAGAAGTTTGTTTAGAATACAAGACACAGATGTGAAGACAGTTTGCGCTCTATGGAGTTTATGGTCTGGGATGCAATTGAGAATCACATTGGGAGGCCCAGAAAATAAGCATAGAGGTTTCTGATGTGTTTGTTTTTCATTTTGAATCTTTTCCGATATGCAGGATTTTCACCGGTACAGTTTGAGGGCAGCATGGAAAGTCTGTATTTATCAATAACAGTAGAAATGTGAATGATCAGAGAAGGGCCTGGGACTGGGAAATGTGTTCAGCAGTAGTCCATCATTGATCAATAAGTTATTGCCTTGACATAGCTAAGAATTCAGCAACATGAATACAACCTGTTCCTTGTTCAATATCTTCAAGTAACAGCTACCATTTTTGTGGCTCAACTGATGACGAGTGCCAAACAAAAAACAGCAGGGCTTTTACAACTGTAACACGTTTTCATAGCAAGATTTTTAAATGTTAATTTCTTAGGTGCCCTGCTGACTTGGAAATAATTTTTCCCTGTTGAGTTGGCCTTTACACAGAGGGAATTTCCACTTATATCTGCATATTGATATCTAATAAACAGCTTTATGATTATGACTGATTAGCTAAGTTTTGTGAATGGAGTCTAAAGGTGAACAACTACTTCATTTTCTCTTAAATTGCCTTTTTTTTTTTTTTTTTTTTTATAAGAGATAAAATGTTTCCAGCCTTTGGATTTGGTGCACAGATTCCTCCTACCTTTCAGGTAACCAGAAGTGTAAATCTGCTACATAGTTTATCTGAAACAACCTACTCAAGGACATATGTATGTGTAAAACCTGAACATCTGTTTCATGTATTGATAGGTATCTCATGAGTTTCCATTAAACTTTAACCCATCAAACCCATTCTGCAATGGTAAGTCTTAGAAACTATCACAAGAGTCTGAAAGAATCAAATATCTGGAAAGTCATGTTTCTGTTAGTTGCCATTTAACCACCTCATGGTACTATGTTTATTCTGGCACGATTAATACAATAGCAGTAAAGGGTGTGGCAGTAGTTGTTAATATTTATAGAAAAGTCTAATTAAAAGACTTTTGTGACCCATTCAGAATATGGGCTTCTAAATATTTAAAGATGGGAAGGAAAGGAGATGATCTTTGCTAATTAGATCATTTGTAAGACTTCTAATTAAGCAGGCTGATTTAGTAAAATAAACAATTAACTTCACTCAGTAACAAGGCTTGAATTTCTTGCTATATAACCTTATTTGTGTGATGTAGCCTTTGGTTCTTTTTCTTCTTTGAAATTTCATGCAACAAAAGGTGTTGGAAACAGAAGTCCCAGTTTCTGCACAGCACGCCTACCTTGCAATAGAAGCAGTGTAGGCATCTCCTGCACTGCCGTGTGAAGGAACCTCATTACTGGCATGTTGGGGTGGTGGAAGGGGGCACCAATAGGAGTAAGAGGGTTGTTCATTCTCTGACGACTTAGTCTTTGTCTTTCTGCTTAAACTGCTAACAAGGACACACGTTTTAAACAGACGATTTGTTATATACTAGTTAGACATATTTCAGAATTTTGATATTTGGCCAATAGACGATCTTTTTAACCTTGATATGAAGTCAAAGAAATAGCCAGTTGTTGTGGAAGGCTAAAACTTCCTTTATCTTAATTGTAAGTAACTATGCTACCGTAGATGTCTGGCATCTTAAGGAGGTGTTAAGACAGTTTAGTGCCTCAGAATAACAGTGCAACATTAACATGAAATATTAAGACTTCATCATTTGTTTCTTTAAGGAATCCAAGGCATCATTGATGCATACCGGGCCTGCCTTCCTCAAGTAAAGTTATATGGACCAACCAATTTTTCTCCAATAATAAACCACGTGGCTAGATTGGCTAGTGCAGCTGCACAGCAACAGACAGCATCAGTAAGTATTTTATCTTAGTGTATGCATTCCCTTCCTTTATTCTTTCTTTCCATACTATCTACTACTTATTTCTCCTGTGTGTGTGCTTGGAAGTGTACCAACTTTATTTGTTTTCCACTTACCCTGTGAAGTTTCATTTAGTACCATTAAGTTTTGTGAATGCCAAAGTTTCCTCACATATTTTGCATAATAAGAATCTTTCATTCAGATGACACTACTTTGGATACAGAGTTGCCAGTTCTGATTGTACCTATTCCTGGAGGCTTCATTACATGACATATTTAATTAAAAATTAATCTAATTCCTGGAGACTTCAGGACAGTCCTGGAGGGTTGGGAACCCTGTTTGGACATCTTGTAGTATATGTTGGAACTCCCTGGTCTAGCTGACAAATTTCTAAAACTGTACTGGAACGGAGTAGTCAGGGTTTTTCTATTGAAGAGTGTTTATTTTGTTTATTACAAGTATCTGTTGTTATGTGTCTGTATAACCAAACAATGAATGTTGTTGAGTCAAGATCTGGTTATCTGTTAGAGGGGTACTGTAAGCTGTTGACTACTGCATGGAATTTAGCTTATTTATATAGTGCATCAATAGTAGATTGCAGATTGTCAGTTAATATTAGGAAAAAGCTGGCATGCAAGCATAGTAGAGGAAATATTCATAAGAATTTGAAGCAGTGGATTATGCATCTTAAAAAAAAATATCTGTTTTCTGATAATCCAACCCTGTTTTTTATCTAGTTTTTCTTTAGAAATCTGAAAACTGAATTAGAGCTAGGTAAACTATTTTTAGACACTTATGTTAGAAGAACTGCTGTCAACCACTGACTGGCTTTGGTGGTTTGACATTAAGATTTGGTCCACGCCTAAACTTAGGTTGATCTAGCTGCATCACTCGGGGCTGTGCAATATTTATTGTCCTTTGCAATGTAGTTAAGCCACTCTACCCCCCCAGCTTATCGATGCAGCCATGTTGGCAAAAGAATTCTGCCTGTTTAGCTACTACCTCGTGAATGGTCACAGGAAAAAACCCTTCCATTGCTGTAATAAGTGTTTATGCACCAGCACCACAAGCGTATTGTCTGGTTCTTCAGCACTTAGGGCAAAGATCCTCTTTTTTGGTCAGTTTTTTACCATGTCCTTACTACAATATGTACATAAGTTTCTTCCTTTTTTTCCTTGGCACTCTTGCTCATGTGTAGATGCCTCCATAGCTGTGTTGAGTAAGATTTTATATTTAAGATACTTTTTTCAAAGATATTAGCTCAAAATAGACTGTAAAGGAAAATATTCAGTTAAGCTTGCATTCAGCCTCTCCCCATAACCCAGTAAAATCTATGTCCTATGTTTAAATGACATTGTTCTTGAGATTTGATGATAGTTTTTCAGCATAGCTACTTTAGATTGCTAGTTGGACATAAGGGCTTTGCAATGAATGTGTTTTGGATTGCATGAAAAGTATCACTGTATTCTAGAACTGAAGAGGTCATCGAGTCCAGTCCCCTGCCCTCGTGGCAGGACCCAGTACTATCTAGACCAGTATTTCCTAACCTTTTCCAGATGGGGACCTATTTTGACAATTCAGGAAGATTTGGTGACCCAAGGCAATTAAAAAACAGGGGGGCAGAGGGAGCAGTGCCATAACTAGCTAATTTTGCACCCGAGGCAAGAATATAAAATTGCCCCCTCCTGTTTATATATTCATAGTTATTTCATAGAAAAACTGAAAATACGTTAACAAAATAACACTACACTTGAGTTGTGGTTGGGCAAAGACACTCATCCCCAAACCTCCCTCTTCCCCCCTTTCCCCCCAGGTTTAAACGCCACACTCGGGATGGGGGGGGGGTCACACAGTCAGGGGGTTAGGGAGGACACGCATTCAGGGGCCCGAGAGTAACACTCAGGGATTGGAAGGGCTGGGAGTCACACTCTGGGAGTCACACACTCGGGGCTGTGGGAATCACACTGGGAGTCACACACTCAGGGGCTGTGGGAGTCTCATAGGTGTTACAAGAATATTAGAAACATAATAAACATTAAAAAAACAAGTAAAATTTATTATTTTACCAAACAGTTTCACTTGAACTTAAATTAATGGGATGGTGGAGCTTGCATTTGCTTTGCTAACTGGTGTATCCTCGGAATTGTTGTGAAGAGTGCGCATCGAAGATCATCTTCCACGTTTCATTTATTTTGCTATTTGTTTTTAATTGTAAGCAAATGTGAGAAGCCTGATTCACACAAGAAAGTTGTTGGAAATTGAAGTAAAATTCTCAAAACAACTTCTGACAAAAGTGGGTAGTCCACTCTGCATCTCGTTCAGAACCGATTATTTGGCATGGTTAAGAACTCTGCTTTCATATCATTGTTGTTGATCATATCGATAAATTGTTCCTGGGTACCTTCAGGTACATCACAAACAGCAAACAACTTTTCATCTGTATCTGGATAATACTGGAGTAGCTCATCACTTAACTCAAATTCTTCTGTATCGACAATTGCAAAGTGTCATTAATATTAATGTCGTACTTTCTTTGAGAGAGGTTGTGAGGGTTGGAAACATTTTTTAATATCAGTTTTCAAAATCCATAATTGGAGTTTCATTCTGAAGGATTTTATTTTCTGATAATCCGATAATTGTAGAATTTTGTCCTTGAAATGACACATTTCAATCATTTAGTAGGCCAAAAGTGTCCGCTAGATATTCTGTTTTATACAAACTCTTGTTTTCTGTAAACAGATATTCAAACTCAGTTTTGTTCTGTGACACAAAAAATATTTTAAGTTCATTTCGTCACTCAAACACCCGATTTAGAACTTTGCCTTTTGACAGCCACCTTACTTCATTGTGAAACAATAATACTTCATGCAAAGAACCTACTTCCGAACAAAGGTTTTTAAATATGCGAGTTCTGAGTTTGCTGGACTTAATAAAATCTACAGCTTTAATAAAATCAGTAAGTACCTGGTTAAAAGAAATAAGTAAAGTTTGTTGCTAGTATTTGCCATGGATGAAACAGAGTTCCAATTACTTTTTGGAGAAACATTTTTAATCAGGGCTTAGAATCCAGACTTGCAACCAAGCATAGCAGGAGCCCCATCTGTGCAAATGTCGCACATGTTTTTTCCATTCTATGGAATGTTCTTCAAAGAAACAATTCAGGATATTGAATATATCTTGTGTAGTGGTCGTAGTTTCCAACAGTTTGCAGAACAAAAATTCTTCTTTCACATTCATTTTTAATATACCAAACATATGCCATCAGTTGTGCAAGATTACACATCAGTTGTCTCATGGAGCTGCATACTGAATAATCCTCTGGGAGAATTTTTAATTTCTTTGATGACTTGAGATTTGATGTCATTAGACATGTCGGTAATTCTACTTAATTGTATTATTGGACATGAACAAAGGTTGCAGCCGTTTCTAAGCATCTCCACCTACCAAAAGGCAGACAGTCTCCTTGGTACAGAGAACTATTAGATCCTCGGCTATGGTATGCGCTTTCTTAGCTTTCGCAGTTTTCAATGCTACAACATATGAGGCTTCTACGGCAGCTAACTTTTGTTGCTAAGACTCACCAACATCAAGTCGGCATTTCTTGACACCTTCTGCTTTTTGTTTACCAAAAAATCCACATCTCTGCTCTTATATTGAGGGTGTTTAGAATTTAAATGACATTGCAGTTTATTTGGTTTCAGTGATTCATTGGAAAGAACTTCCATGCATATGATGCATTGTGATCTTTCCACTCCTTCTGTAATTATCGAAGTAAATCCATACTTGATGTATTCGTCAACATACTTTCTTTTTGCTGAAGTTATTTTTTGAAATAAAGGGCAAATGAAATTGACAACCTGCTTCTGTATTAATAACAAAAACACACAGTAAGATTGTGCCAAACAAACACCAGATTGTAAGTAAAGCAGCAAAATCTTACGCGTATTATGACTGTGCATCGCGATAAGTCTGAGACAGCATATATTACTGGCTGTTATTACACCGGGGCTACTCAAATTTGGATGCCCCCAGGGCCATAATGATATCCACAGCACATGCTGAGGGGCGCTACTTAGCACAGCTGCATATGTACAAATGTATGCAGATCACAAAATTTACTAAAATAGCCCCTCTCCTACCCCAGAGCCAGGCACCCTCCAGATCCCCCACTCCAACCAAATCCCCTTCCCCTCTACTAGAACCAGATACTCTCCAGTCCCCTGTTCCAACCCAATGCCCCTCCACTCCCCTCCCCCAGAGCCAAGTACCCCAACCCACCGCTTTATCCCAGTGCACCCACCCCTCCCCCAGAACAAGAGAACCACCAGCCCTTCCTCCACTCACTTCCAGCCTCTATCCAGATCCCCCACTCCAACCAAATCCCCTTCCCCTCTACTAGAACCAGATACTCTCCAGTCCCCTGTTCCAACCCAATGCCCCTCCACTCCCCTCCCCCAGAGCCAAGTACCCCAACCCACCGCTTTATCCCAGTGCACCCACCCCTCCCCCAGAACAAGAGAACCACCAGCCCTTCCTCCACTCACTTCCAGCCTCTAT